AATCTTTCGTACTTCTAAACCCAACTTCGACACCAACCTCTTTGCATCATAATAACTTGTAGGCAAGTTGTCTTTCGTAGGAGTCGCATCCAACATAATTTTTGCAAAGTATTCCAAACACTGATCAGGAACATTCCAATTTGACTTTGCGGCCAATAATCTCACACACATTGATAATTTTGAATCTGCCGACCCCTCAAACAACGGTGTATTCATTTCTTTCAACAATTGGTAAAATCTTTGTGCTTCCTCATTCGGCAACTCTTCCCCATCAAAATCCTGAGGTCCATTATATGTCACATTTACTCCAAATGAATTTCCAACCATTTCATCGATCAGATTAAATTGTTCATCAAATTCCATATGTGATCGACTGCTTGATGCATGTGTATTAGTTGTCTCTGCATATACGTTACTCGGCAGTTGTTCTCCATTATATGTCCAAACCCAATAATTTTTAATGAAACACTTCCTCTTCAAATGACGTTCTACTTCCTCTAGGTCACTAATTATAGGTCTACATTCACATTGAAGACAAGGACATCTCACTCCTCCTTCACGTCGACAACATTCTTGTGCAAATGCCCACATGATAAACCCCTTAACTCCTTCCTCAAAATTTGGCCTAAGTCCACGTCTGCCTGGTAACGTTCTATCGTACATCCAACTACGATAGTAACGAAAATATTCCATACTGCACATTTGTACTATCATTATATATCATTTTAATAAAATATGTAACTTAAATCTATTTTTTCTATTTCGACACCAACCTAATAAAATATGTTCACTAAAATAATATAAATTCATTATTTTTAAAGTATAATATATATTCATTATTTTTAAAGTATAATATATTCATTAAAGTATAATATATATTCACTATATATTTTAAAGTATAATATATATTCATTATTTTTTAATTCATTATTTTTAAAGTATACTATAAATTCACTAAAATAATATATTATATTAATAATAACATATTTAAAGTATATATATTCATTATTTTTAAAAATTTGTTTTTCTAAAATAATATATATACACTTACATCTAACAACAAAAAATCTAAAATTTTCTAATCAATATTCTAAAATAATATTTCATATATCACCAAAATCTCAAATATAAACAAATTGGAATGCATAAATACCTCTGAGTTAACTCTCAAAGCTTCCAATGGAACTTCTTAATCAATCTTAAATCTGGAAAAAAAAAATCAGCAGTTAATAATAAGAAAAACATAAAATAAACGGTAAGGTAATACAGTCACAAAACCAACATACAAATGTTTCACCTTAAATTTTTTGTTAAAAATAGAGGCAGAATGAGGCAGAAGAAGAAGAACAATATGAAGGGAAGGGGAAGAAGAAAGAGGCAGAAGCAAAGTGAAATGAGATGTGACTGAAGAAATTCTGGGATTTTCCATATATAAGGACACTTGCGACGTGGTGGACACGTGAAAACCACGTCGGAACCCACTTACCTTTTCAAAATTTATGACGTGGTATTCGTTTGGGAAATTTGCGACGTGGGAAAAGGGTCGGAACATTCCCCTATATTAAATTATAGTTGTTCATCCACTAAATATCAATGCAACAGTAAGAAAATCATTTATGTAAGTGGGTTGCGACGTGGGAAACACTTCGCAAGGTTGTCACATTCAATTCCATAAACCAATGTGTTTGAGAAGTTAATGAAAAAGTTTAGACATTTACTATTTGCAGTTTAGTGACGTGAGAGACATGTGGGTATTTTGTGACATGCTACTCACGTGGCAAATAAAAGGACTTTTTTGAAATTTCAGTTCCCTTGTGATTTACACGCCACAACTGAATTTGTGAAAAATTCAAATTTCCCTCTCTCTTAAAATTCCAAATTTTCGTTGCAGATTTTAGGTGTACAAAATTTATTAATTAAATAATTTAGTGGCGTGGGAATCACTTGCCACACTTTTTTCCCACGGGTTTACCACGTCACTAAATCACTTGGAAAAATCAACATTTTCTTGTAGTGATATATATATATATATATATATATATATATATATATATATATATATATATATATATATATATATATATATATATATATATATATATATATATATATATATATATATATATATATATATATATATATATATATATATATATATATATATATATATATATATATATATATATATATATATATATATATATAAAAAGTTGAAAATAAAACTGGCATGAGAGACAATAAATTATGGGATGTCTCAATTATCAAGAGAGACTATTAAGTCTCAATTATTGTCCAAAATAAAAGAATCTTGAAATTTAAAAATTTTATATTTTTATATTTTTTCAGTTTTTGAGAATCTTATGTTTTATCTTATTTATATGCATCAGGAATAAGCCTATATACAATGAGATCATTTGGTAGATATGAAAATTTAAAATTTAAATTGTTGAAATGAGGCAACCAAAGGATTATTATAGAGAACAAAAAGACTTGTGCTCACATATTAGAGATCGAATGATTTGGACATCATTAGGATGTTCGACTCTGATCCTTTTGGATGTCTATATATCATAGGCATCCTAACTCAAGAAATTGGTTGCATATAGTAAAAGGTTTTGAAAAAAACTCGAGCTATATTGTGACATAAGTCATTCGAATAATGTTTCAACAATTGTTTTATAAAGTTCATTGACTTATAAGTTGTTGATATTGAAGGATAGAACGTATAGATAGAAATTCTATGCTAGTTGACTTACTAATCAAAAACTTGACATATAAGGTATTCCATAGGAGTGTTGTGACTACGGATGTCCTAGATTAGTGAGAGTCACTTCTTCTTTATGTTTTATAATATTATTTTGATATCGATACAGACTTTATGTTAATATTATCTGCAGAAATAAAGCTTATGAGGTTATTATTTTGATAACCATTTCTAAATAGTTTGTGCAAATATTGAATTTGCAAGCTTCAATTTGATCTCAATAAAGAATTCAGTTGGACCAGTTGGAAATAGACATGATTCAGATCTCACATTACATGAAATTGTTAAGTATTAACAAGTGTGAGTAGGGTGGATAATAGTCCCACATTGAATAGAAATGTGGTGACTTGAGCATTTATAAGTGAGAGAACTCATACATCTATCACCTTAAGGTTTTGGGTGAGTATGTGGTGTGTCTCTCACAAAGGTTGCTCTAGAAAAAAGTCTCAGGTATCATGAGCAGTGTTTTAAAAACCGGGTTTAGGGTCGGACCGGTTCTAATGCATTTTTTATTTTTAATTAAAATTTAAATGCAAAAGTTATAAAAATTAAAAAAAAATTGTTTTGATTGTTTTGAAATAATTTTACGTAGACATTAGAGTTATTTTGTTATAAATTATTCAATTATATTATATTGCAATTAGATTTTGTAATTTTGTATTATTTTATTATGTGTGATACATTTGTTTAAAATTTGAATTTAAATTATGAACTTGTGAATTTATGATATGATATTTTCAAAAAATTTAATTACTAGTTATATTTTTTTAGAAACTGAATCATCCGGTTCGACCAATTTTATATCTATATAATGACAGGTCTATTCAACCGAGTTATCCGGTTTAGTCATGTGGTTCGACCAGTGACCCAGTGGTTCGACCGATAAACCAGTGACCCAATACCCTCACCGGTTCGATGACCGGTCCGATTTTTAAAACACTGATCATGAGCCTTTGGTTCGAATAAAAGGAACATCCCACATTGGATAGAAATGTGGTGACTTGAGCATTTATAAGTGAGAGAACCCATACACCTATCACCTTAAGGTTTTGGGTGAGTATGTGGTGTGTCTCTCACAAAGGTTGCTCTAGAAAAAAAGTCTCACTATGTTCAATGCTCGTTAATGTGGTTGTCATCAAAATTCCGTCACGTTACATGTCAGTGACGACAACCGCGGTGGTCCCATTATTGATGTATGAGGAGGTGAATCAGATTGTAAAGTTGAAATTTAAAGATAAATAGCATTCGAATGCACGCATAAAGAATTATGATATAATTATTAAGATATATTGGCCAAGATATTGTTGGAAAATTTTAATAATTTAGTATTTCAATAATCATGTGGCCAAATATATTTATTTAATTATATTAGCTATTTTATCAAATAAAGTGTCTTAAATAATTAAGTGATCAAATAATGTTAAAAGGCTATTTAAATTTTATTTAAAAATTATTTAATTAATTAATTAACTAAATATTGAATATGACTCAAATATGAGTGGAGGTCATAATAATCAATTTAGAAATAATAAAAACTCTAATTGACGATCACAATATATATAGATTATGGTCTCCAATATACTACACAAATAAATTATCTCTTCTCTATATCTAAAAAAAAATTCAAAGCATAAAAAGTACAACCAAAGTATCAGTCATTTGTCTCTATAATTTTTTTACATAGGATTATCAGTGCCTACCATAAATATGTTTGGATGCATGTTTAATGCAATTAACGTGAGCAAGTTTATTTGATGGCTGATTAATTTTTTCTCTCACAAAAAATCATCACTGGCTAACTCAAGGCATTTGCTAAGTAATCATATCCAGAATACTTTTTAATTGAAAATCAAAACATTCAATACATTAATAACTAAAGTCTTAGTAAAAGAAAACAACAATTTTAAAGTTATCATTTCATTGAAAATGTGTACCTATATAATTGTTTCGAGAGGGAAAACCTTTTATCATTTTATCATATAAAGCAAAACCATAACAAAAGGCAAACTAAAAGACCTTTAATGATGATAAGTAAAGAAAAAATTGTTTGTCAAACATGAAACTTAGTATGTTAAGTATTGTCCCCTTTCCACAAAGACAAAGTTATATCTTCATTTCTCTCTCATTATCATCCCATATTTATAAATACCATGCAAACCTAATTCATTCATGTGCTTCTCTTCACCCTCACTTTATTTGAGAAGAGTGAGTGCAATTTTCAGTGTTTAATCAACAAATGGAAAAGCTGAATTTTATTAAAAATGGAGTAAGTAGATTGCCTCCTGGTTTTCGTTTCCAACCGACCGATGAAGAACTTGTTTTTCAGTATTTGAAATGTAAAATCTTCTCATGCCCCTTGCCAGCTTCCATCATTCCTGAGGTCAATGTTTGCAAGTATGATCCTTGGGATTTGCCAGGTCGGTGACTCTGATACCATATTAAATTTATTTATCGAGTATAACTCAAGTTTATAAAACTAACCTGTAAAGTGAAGAGTATTATCGATTTTTTTTACAAACTCGGAAATAAGTAAGTGATTAACATTGCTTTGTTTGATTGATATAGGAGGTTGTGATGAACATGAGAGGCATTTTTTCAGCTCCAAAGAAACAAAATTTAGAAATAGTAATAGGATGAGTAGAACAACAAAATGTGGATATTGGAAGGCGACAGGATCAGATAAAAGAATTTCATCTTCAACTTGTAATGGAATTGTTGGAATAAGAAAAACCCTAGTTTTTTATCAAGGAAAATCGCCAAATGGTTCTAGAACTAATTGGATCTTGCATGAATATCGTCTCGTCAATGCAGAAACTAATTCTTCTAATTCAACTCAGGTAACTATCTGGGTCCGTTTGATATATCTGTTTTTTTTTAAGTTTTTGTTAGTCTCTCGCGATGATATTTTTTTATTTAATATTTTTTCGGTTTGCAGAATTATGGAAATGAAATAGGAGACTGGCTTCTATGTCGATTATCGACGAGGAAAAGAAATTTAGAATATGGAAGCACTAGTACTCATAATAATAATAATAATAATAACAATAATGCTACTCCGAATTCGAGATTAATGTTTGATTTTATGATGGTAAACAACAACAAAACATGTTCATCTACTTCATCTTCATGTTCAAGTTCAAGTAACAACAACATTGAGGTCTCTTCAAATCTACAAGACCATGAACAAGATTATGCTGATCATTTTTAATTAAGCAGTGAATATTCATAATTAATTAATGTTAATTTCTTTGCTTGTTTACTAGCTATGATCATGATGTTGTAATATGCTTATCTCGTCGTTTTTTTATATATATTTAATATTAGTATTTTCTTTGAACTTGTATTAAAGAATGATTAAGCTTAGTCATGAAATTAAAGGTTTTGATTTTCCCTAAAAACTATAAAGGAGTGTCTTATTGATGCTTTACTTTATTGAGAGAGGAAAAGAAGATGAAAAAGGGTTGCATATATACCTTATTTGGTGCGATCCATATAACCAAAGTAGCAATATTTTTATTTAAAATTTGCACGTTGTGAAACTTCACAACCAAGAAAGAACCATTATTCATACTCATTTCATCTGCATATATATTACGCTAATTAAGTTTAAATAATCACATAATTAGTTACATTTAGTGGAATAATTTTTATTGATAATTTATATTAAAGTAATTAATTTCAATTAAATGAATTAAAATAAAATGATTAAAGATTCTTGGGGAGGATTCATGTTTTATATATGAGATGTTGAAAAAATTCTCAAGAAACAAAAGCGAGGAATGCTTCAATACCTGAGATTGTCCAAGAGGAAGATACAAATGTTGATCAAGATGAAGGTATAAAGGTTGATGATGATGCAAATGTTAGGAATGTCTAAGAGTGATGCAGAAATTCTTGGACTGAGGTGAATGACCCTGAAATTGATGCATTTATTGAAGATATTATTACTACAAGTGAAGTTAACAACAACAATCTTAAGTTGTTAATCCAAAACACTTTATAATGTCAAGAATAGTGTGACTCCATAAAGTTGCTACTCACAAACCCTCTTAAAATAAGAAACTAGAATTATTAAAAAGGACTATTGATAAGTGTCAAAATTGTTGGACATATGACTCCAAATATAAAAGGGGTGAATTGTGGATTTCAGAATAACGATAGTTTAAACAACTTTTAGGATTATTTTCAGAGTTTAAGTTCATTTCAAAAAGATTTTAAAAATAAATAAGCATCAGAAATAAAGAATAAAATGCGAAAATTAAAAAGTTAAAGGATAGAGAGAGATAACACTAGGAATTATAGAGATTTTCTCAATAAGAAAATATTTAATTCTCTCTAAGATTTGTTCTTAAAAGTATCTAGTAAATTTTAAGATTTTTTACTAGGTTGAACTCTCGAACCTCCTTATATAAGGAAAATGAAGTTTTTGCCTAACTTTCAACAAAACAGCGAACAAAGAGAGAAGCAACGAGTCTTCTTTCTAAACAACAGATCGAAGCAATTAGTCTTCTTTTCAAACTTGAAGCGGTTAGTCTCCAAGTTAAACAAATATTTTACATGGGTTGATCTCGAACCTAGGTGAGATTTTAATCTGGGGTGAACTCATGAATTGAACTGAGGTTTTGACGTGATGACCACGAACCTATTTCATATCGAGTTTATCTTCAACCTTAGAAAGCTTTTAAATAGGCAGAGCTTGCAAAATTAACTAGGGTGATTACCAGGATAACCACGAACCAATGTGAGATTTTATACCAGACTAATCTCGAACCAAAGAAAGCTTTTGAACAAGCTGAGCTTTCAAACCGAACCGGCAACTTAGTAACTAAATCCTCAAACCAAAACTTTTAAAGTTTTAGCTTCAAACCCCAACAAACAATTCCTGATTGGATAAATTATTCAACCAAGATAAAAATATTCTTCGGTGAATTAAAATACTATCCTTCCAAAATTATAAAGATGCCTCGCTTGCAAAAGACCTTTCTCGAAAACACTACGCCTAAATTACTACGTGAGAGAAATTGAAAAAATATTTACAGAGAGAGAAGAGAATGAGATATGAGAGCTCACGATTCTAGATTTGAAAATATGAAGGAAGAGTCCTCTATTTATAGGCTAGAGGGTGGCACAAAAAAGAAAAAATTTATTGGCCAAATATTAATGTGCCAATCGATTGGCATCTTTCTCCAATTAATTGGAAGGCCTCAAATTAATCGTTTAGGCTAGTTAAAAAGGAAGTTAAAGATATATAGTTTTTTTTCATTAAGACACTATCCTAAACGATCAATAACGGTTTTTATATTGACCCGATTAATTGGGAATAGGTGTCAATCGATTGGACAATACAAATTTTGTCCAAAATCATTCAGATAGTTTCTAATTCAACTTGCACGACTTCAAAACATTTTTAGGAATAACTCTAAGAAAAAATAGGTTTGAAAACATGTTTTTAGTCTCTGTGTGTGTGTGTGGTCTAACTGTATAACTTTACGAAAATGCTATTTTGTTTTTACAACATATTCTTACTCAGACGCGACATGGCGAGCTTTCACACATTTTAAAGCTTCAAGAGTTGTCAGGTACTTCAATCTTATAGGCACTTGCTTTAATTTTATTTTAAGATGAGACTTGAATTATATTCTATTTAGGTTCCATCATAAGAGGATGTTTTCAGTGATCATCCAACTCTACTTAGTTTGCTTGCATCTTTAACCACTTGTTATGTTTGCAATTAGTTGTCATCATCAAAAGCATATTCATCATTAAAGCTTCTTTAACCTACAAAAGATGGTTCCACATCCTCCCCCTTTTGATGATGACAATGCATCTCTCGAGGATGTGGTAAAAACAAAATAAACAAATATATTTGGAGTGTTTAAAATCCTCCTAATTAGGTGGAGAGTATGCTCTACTCCCCATGAGAGTATACTCCTCTCCCTTTGTCAAAATAAAAAAATGATGGTAAATGATGCATTTTGAAAAGTTTAAATATTCAAACATAAACACATAAACATTTAAGAAATAAAAAAAATATTTAATACAAGAAAATTACATAAGGGAAATTCAAAAGCAATATAAGCAATAAAATCACATTGAAAACAATTAATTCGCCACATCATCATCCTCTCTACACACCATTAGAGATATGAGGTTTGTTTTCTCCAATTTCTTTATAAGCTTGTTAATCTTTGATTTTATTGCTCTTTGATCATCACGAATATCATTGAGAATATTTGAAGAGGATGGAGGGAGGTTATTATTTCGTTGGTGTATTCCCCTTCTTGGAGGTAGTGCAATAATCTCACTTCATTGAATAGTATATTCCATTTTACCTAAAATTCCTTTTTGTATTTTTGAGTGTAGACTTTCTAGTTCCTTTTCTTCAAAGTCAAAGTTGGTGTACACTAGAATTTTTGTGATTAATTCACCATAGGGCAAAGTCGTGTTCTTCTTTTTGTTATCCGCAATGTGATGAAGCATAGTATTGTTAAGTGCAAACTTTGACTTATTTTGAACCATCTTTCTTGGTATTTTTCAACTTATTTCTCATGTTTTAATCGATTTAATTCTTGTTCTTGTGTAATTCTTCAATTATATAGAAAATGCCTTTGGATGCTTTTATATGTGATTTATTGTGCAGGATATATGCATAAAACATCATTGGTTAAAACACAAAGGAGTGGACAAGGAAACCAAAGAAATGAAGACGAATCAGCAGGTTCGTTGTGTAAACACCAGCGAGCAGCCAACAAATGTTTGCTATGTGAAGTTGCAGCGAAGTCCCAACGAAGAGGAAACCTTAGATGGCAGTAGGAAAATGATCCAAAGTTCGTTCAGTGAAGCCAAAGCGAATAAGTTCGTTGTGCGAAGAAGTGTTCGCACTGCAAACTCAGATATTTTTTCAAGGGTTATTTAACTATTCAGAGGCACTTCATGTGCCTAAAAAGGGTCTTTGTTGTGCGAAGAAGGTGTTCGTTAGGCGAACAAGACAGATTTTTATTTTACTATATATGCACTTTTCTCGCTTTTTAGAAAAAAACGAGTATTTTTCAGTAGAACTTTATCTCTCTTTATTCAAATCATACTATAGAGAGAGAAGCACAAACCCTAAGAGGGCGAAGTAGAAATTGGAGTAACTCGAAGCTTGATCTTCGAGTAAATGATTTGATATCTTATTGGGGTTGGATGCAATCTATTGACACCTTATGTATTTCATCTAATCTATATTTTGTGAACTAGTTTTTATTCAATATTGATGTTGTCTTTGATTTCTTATTTGTGGCTCTTAACAAAACCTTTTCAAATCTTAGGTCTTAGATATTCATCTATCAATGAGAAAACTGTTGACATAGTCTTTTAAGTTGATATTCACTTGTATCTTTGATTTTATTATGTTGATTATTAGCATGAGTAGCGATCAATGTGGTATTGTGAGGATGCGTGATAATAGAGATGAGAAACTATGTTCACTTGCATTTGGCAAATTAGTTGAATGCATGTAAAAAGGGTTAAGCGTATGTACGTATTCTAATCATGGAATTTTATATGAATCAATCATGGATCTGATATGGATGTTATCTTTGTTTACCTGTTTATCTTTGATTTGAACCGTTATACAAATATACTCTTCAGATCTGAACCTATGATGAATATTTGTTAGATTCTAGACTCTAGACATAGATTTAGGCTTAAAATTTACTTGAGTATCAAATATTAATGCTCTGTGTTGTTGAGTTGCGTGAGACATCACCAATAAGACAATGCGGTTGTTCTCTCGATGTTGCGTTAGACATAACCTCTGTTATGGGTGATATGTGAGTATATTAGACGAATGATTGATTTGTGTTTAACTGGTCAGAAGAATGCATATGTTATCAATTGATGAGGTCCAATCCCAACAAGGCTCCGTTTATTTTAAATTATTTACTTTATATTTTCTGTCTTTATATTTTCTGTCTTTATATTTTTTGCTTTAACTTATGGTACCTTTGATCTATCAACAAATTTTCACAACAAGCTCAGAAATATAGAGACTGTTGAACGACATTCTTTCCCTCGCACCGATCTCTATGGAGACGATATAAATCCTGGAGGGACTCCTTCCAAAACTAAATTTTTGCTTCTTGCCGCTTTACTGCAGTTCAACAAGCATTCACCCAATTTTTCTCAACTTGATTTCCAAAAATCAAATCACATGATAATCTGATT